CTTGGATGTGTGAGTTGATACTCAAAATTGGAAATCAGAGAGCTGAGTTCCAATTCCAGTTGAGTTCATTATATTCACTTATGTGCTAATACCCTTGGGAAAGGGATGAATCCACCTGTCCTCCAACTATGGGTTAATTAGTAGAATTTGTATAAGTAAATCCTTATTATCTCAAAAAACAAATAAAAAAAATTCTTACAGTCAGAAAATAATTTCTGGTTTTAACATAACCAGCGAGAGGTTGATAAGCCGTAAAAAAAAAACAAGAAACAAATCAATCAGACACCTGAAGAAGGCTGGAGAGTACAATGGCTGAAATATTGTGATAATAATAAAGATGAGGACATTAGCCTAAATGTAAATGACTTACACAAAGTTGAAACTTTAGACCTGGAAAAAAAAAACTGAAAAGGCCTTTTTTTTTTCTGTTGACACCTCTTTGGCAATGTTTTAAAAAAAAACAATTTTTAGAAGTTTAATAACAAGAAAGATGTTATACACTATTCTTGCATAAGAGTAAGTGTCTATGCCGACACTGTGATTTGAAACTAGCTCGCCATTGAGCAACATGGGCAATTCCATTATTAAGTAGATCATGTGATCATAAAGGAAGTGAATAAATATGAAGTAGCGTAAGAATCATTGTTCACTGTTCTTGTCTATCCACTATTGCTATACGCTCAATCTCTCTACTACTATACAATTTTCCTCTGATCATTATACTATTTGTTGATTACTACTTGCACAAGTATTACTAGTGCGGATATTATTGGAAGTCATTACTACTAGTATCGGCATCTACAAAGTCTTGAATATAACAAGCAATGTTTGGAAGTGATAACGAGCTTTCACCTGACATAGCAAAAGTGACAAGTGAAGCCGTCCAACATCCCAAAAACTATTCATTTGTTAGATTATTTACAGGATTAATTTTATATTTACAAGATTATGAAAATATGTGAATCGACTACGATGTATGATTTATTATTTACCATTTTATAAAGATTTATTATTGTGACACTATTTAGCTATGGTAATTAGCTAACTAATTAACCATAGAAATTAAAACAGGAAATACTTAAGGCGAAAAAGAGCTATCCCTAAAGATATCTCGATCCATGTTAAAAAAAAGATACTTTTAACAAAAGACAGTAAACCCATGGAAAAAGCCATATGTGAGGTTTTGTCAGGTTGATTAATGTCTTTCCAAGGTAGATAGAAAGGCAAATATTAAGATATTGTCCAGACCATGGCAGTCATAAAAATTTCGGCTTGAGATGATCACCAATACAGGCAGGGAGAATCAATGTTAATTATCTTTCCAAGATATTTTTTTTTTTTTTGGCCACCGGCAGGGAGAAGCAATGTGACAATTATAAAATTTTGGCATTGTCTCAACATAGGTGAGAGGATTGTTATTTACCTTATCAAAGTGTCGCTTCAGACACTGAAACGTTGAATAGCAATATGGCGTTTGTAAAATTTTGGCATGAGACAGAAAGTAGAGTGGAGAATTGAGATTTGGTGGTATAAAAGAATTTAATTTCTCAACAAGCCAAGGATTCCATTATAAAGCTAACTTCATGAAGGGACCAGATGGCAAATTTTGACAGTGACTGATGGAGTCAGTAGAGAGTGCTGGCTAAGTGAATTCTGGGTGGCCAAAAGATATGATAGAAATTTAATTGGCAATATGAAATTTATAAAAATTTTGGCCGACGGGAAAAAGGAGAATTTTGTAAACAAAAATTCTAGATTATAATTTTAAGGAGGCCAGCTTAGCCACACCCGCACGGCTGGAATGCCATTGGTCGAGTGGTAGCAATGGTGATAATCAGAGGTGATTGGATGAGAAGGACAGAAGTTATTAACGCCCACTGAAGGGATTGGTATGAGATATCAATGTGAGAGAGGAAGAGTCTAGGAGAATAGCTCTCCTCCGACCTTCCCTCATGGACGAGAGAGACCCGAAATGAAAATAATTAATTTTCCAAAAATGGGAAATAATCGATTTTCCTGGCCTGACAACAGAAAGATTTCTTGTTGGGAATCGAAATTTACCAAGAACCCCAGGCCACGTCTGGCCCCGCACCAGGTTTTGGTCAGTACCCATATAAACAAGCGTCCTTGGGCAGTTAGTCAGTTGGAGTTCTGAGTTGGAGTCGCAGTTGAGCTGGTTTTGGAGTTAGAGTCAGAGCTTAACCAGAGTGTTGCCTCACAGAAGCTTACCAAGAGATTCCACGACCTCCGACTTTGCCTATCCTATCAATAGCAGGTTATACTGACGAACAAAGCCAAGCCAGCAACTAAGAACTAAATCAGCTGACTTAAGATACCAACTTGCTTGAAACGTAGAAGTGTCACATTTCATAGAAAATGGGCTGGGAGAAAAACAAACTCCTGTATATAATAGAAGGATAAAGTTAATTTGTTATTTCTTAACATACTTGAATCTCTTGGGTTTTTATTTTATTTATTTCTTTTTCCTTTACGCTTGTGCGATACCACCTTCAGTCCGGACTCAGCCTACACTACGGCCCGACACCTGATTGATCTCGTCTACCTAAGATCAAAGTCACAAGGTGGATAGGTTAGACTTGAAATCGAAGCAGTTACTCCAGTAACCTGACATTGCAAGTGAGCTGGGAACGATAGAGCTGGTATTGAACCAGTACAGCTGGTGAAGCCGTTAACATCAACGACCAGAATTTGACCCTGGACGAACCAGTGTCCTATATTGGTATCCTGACCAGGGGATTTGGTGGTGGAGGCGACAAAGAGTCAACCCCAAAACGCTGGTAGAAGAAACATTACAGTTTTCACGTCGCGACTGGGAGTTGACCATGGGCCTGGATGTCATTATTTACCATTTGATTTTTCCAGAAAATATACATTTTCTTCTCGGATTATTTTTTTTTTAATGTCAAATTACTTTTTTTTTTCATTTTAATTTTTTTCTTTTTATAATTGTGATCTATGGTCAAGGATGTCTAATCAATAGAAATCATCATCATAACCTCCACAAACCATTAGAGTCATAATAGCTCCACATGTACTGTAGCAGTGTTGTCTTTGGCAAGATAGCCTAAGGGTGCACAACCCTCTCCAGGCTGGTCTGAATTCAGAGTTTTCCTTCTCCCACACTTGATGCCAACCAAGGCTACAGGACCCAGTCTGCCCTGCTATTTATTCACTGCTGAGAAGGAAAAGAGATGGATTCATACCTTTTCCCAAGGGTATCAGCACGTAAGTGAATGTATTGAACTCGAGTGGAATTCGAACTCGGCCCTCCGATTCCTCAATCCGAGCCGCTATCCATTACTCCACTGTGCCTTCAAAATCAATAGAAATACCCACTAAAAATTGCAGCCATTTTGAAATTATATACAACGAAAAAGTCTGTCCACCCAATGAATAAGGAGATACGCGATCAAAATATTTAGTGTTTGTCGTCTTATCAAAAATTAAAAGAATGTTTCATTCAGAGAAAGTGATGCTCTCAACCTACTTGAGTGAATTTATGTGGCGAAAACAAGTGAAAAAAATGCCTGGAAAATGCTTTTTTTTTCTTTTCAAAATTATAATTACAGTAACTGATCATTATGTTTTTATCTTAATTTTGTTGTTCACATTCTTCTAAATTTATGAATAAAACAAAAATTTATTCATATTTCTTCATAAAACGGTAAATAATAAAGACTTCATTATAGTTGCTTCAGTAATTTTTATAATTTATGAATAAAAAATTTGTTTTCATATTTAGTTTTTTATGCTAACTGATAAATATTGTATTGAAATTGGTTCACATATTTTTATAATCTTGTACATAATCTAACAACTAAATAGTGTCTAATATTTTTGTTGTTGATAGAATTCCAAATATAGCTTTTTAAAACAGTAAACATTGCCAGAGGAGTTGAAAGCATATAAAGTGATAGAAGCATCAACAGAAAAACCATGTATTTGACACCATTTTTTGCCAGTACAAAGGTCAAACATTGCCATAACAATTTTTTTCTTTTTCTTTTTTGAGTCAATGTACTTAATCCGTACTTTGTTTGATATGTACTTAATTAAAATTTTATTTGCTTTTCACTTATTTTTTCCTTTCTTTTATTATCTTTCTTCTATATATTTATGGGATGTTTTGCAACAGGTTTTAGGAAACTTTTGGTGAGTATCTGAAAATCTATTTGTTGAATTGTAATGAAGCCATTATGCAAATTAATAATAACACGATTAGTCTTAATGGTGGGTAAATGAATGACAAAATGGAGAACTCCTATGCGACATAGTTTATCTGGCAAAAGACTTTAAACCAAATAATATTTTTATTGTTGAATCATATATATATACTAGCAGTAGAGCCCGGCGTTGCCCGAGGATGTAACAGTAAGAGATAGATCAAGTATCGACCATCATAAAGACTGAAAAACAAAATTAACAAAGATTATTATTTAAGGTTGACGGACACACATGTCTTAATTAGTTTTTTTTTGGGGGGGAGGGTACGAATTGGTCAAACCCAAACTCAAACAAAAACATTGTTTTCAATAGTTATGAGTCTATCGATTGGTGAATAGAATTTTATTATAAACAATTGTCTTGTAAATGGAATTTTTAAAGCATTCTGAATGTATAAATAAAGGAAAAAGTGTGCAAGACAATAAGAAACACCTGCCAAAAAAAAAAAAAAAGTGAAGTTTTGTTGAAATCGGTTGAAAAATGTAGGAAATCCGATCGCATATATAAACGAACACACGCACACAAACAATCTGGGTTTTATATGTATAACTCGATATGAGTTGTCCCCCTTTCATTCTCGTGATGTCCCTTAATCGTGTTTTCAAATTGATTTCGTGCAAAAACAATTGTGTTTTTCCAATTTTTGGCGCTGTCAGAACCACCACAAGGTAATTTTACGTAGTCCTGTGAAGTTTTGCTGAAATCGGTTGAAAAATGAAGGAAATCCGATCCAATATATAAACGTACAGACACAC